GCCTTCTCCTGAATAGGTCAATGAGGGGGGCTGGTAAGGGGAATCCTGGGAGGTGGCGGGAACGGTGACTGTGAGTGTCAAGTGGAGCGAGAGCGATAGTCCAACAACGTCAAACCCTGGTCCAATATTGGCAGACGTCGCTGGAACGCGTATTGTAAAAACCCGAGGAACCATCTGGACAGAAATCCCTGATCTTAACTTCCAATGCCAAAAAGAAAGAAAGATTCCGTACTATCAAAGGAAGATGGTATTACGGTGAACTATTGATTTTCTCTAATGCCCACAACGACTGATATCTTATTACCGAGTCATCATCGGCGAAAGTTAGGGGAATGAGTCAATAAAAAAAACGTTGATCTTGATCTCGGCCGACACGTCCTATGTGCACTACGCGTTCCCATCAAGAATTCTGAGAAGATAGTTATTATAACTCCTTGTTAGTATATCGGTTCAGTACACGCGCCTGTCATTCATTGGTGCGCGCGAGAGCTGGGTTCGACTCCCAGACAGGGAGCTTTTTTTTTATCCTATTTATTTTTGTGATGTACTATTCTTAGACCGCGCTCATGCTCTATTTTTTTTTTTTGTACGTTTGCATATAATCGTGTTCTCTGTGTATGTATACATTCTTTGAAGTGGACTCATAGCTGATATTGGTCAAAATGGGGACTCTTGTGCACCCCGAGCTCGTTATTTATAACTCCTTGTTAGTATATCGGTTTAGTACACGCGCCTGTCACTTACTTGTTGTACTACGCGCGAGAGCTGGGTTCGACTCCCAGACAGGGAGGTAGTCTCTTAAATTTTTTTATTTGCCATGTCCAGAAGCAGCCCGTTCTTCTGCAAATGCAAGTAAATGAACTCATATCTTGTCCTCGTGGTGCTGCGGATTGGAATGCAATAGTATTGAATAACACAGTAATAGTAGTTTAATTCGCCCGCAAAAAGACGAGGCAGTAGAGTAAGTGTGTAGCGGACATAATGAAACTGTTGGGGATGTCGTCTAGACCTTGATCTAATGCAACACAGAACGAAGAGAAAAACGCTAGGCACGGGAACGACAATCTGCAAGAGTACGACCTAAAACGAACTAACAGCGCTCAAGCTTCTTTCCTTTAACTTTACAGTCACCTCGCTGGACCTGGAGTTTGATACGTCCCGTAATACGCCTGCTGGGCCTGCACCGGGGTCGGAACCGGGGTAGACGCCTGGCTCTGGGGTTGTGTTTGTGTTGTCCTTAGATGCGCAGGCAACGTCGGCACAGCACTGCTCTGCGCGCCCTGTGCCTGTGTGTACACCGTATTCGCCACCGCCGGTGTCCTCGCCACGCCAGCAGGCGTCCCTCCGAAAAAGCTCCCATACGTTGCGGTCGTCGCGTTCGCAATCACCGGTGGTGGGGGCTGCACCATCTGCATCTGGATCATTTGGCCCGGTGCTTGTCCCAGTTGTGCCTGGGGCTGTGCGGGCTGTGGCGTACCCCTCCCAGACCCGCCAGCGACCTGCGCTTGTGCCTGCTGTGGGGCTGAATATGCGCTGTACCACCCCGAGTATGCGGCGGCGGCATACCCCTGCTGTTGCTGGCCGTAATAACTCTGCTGCGCGCCTTGTTGCTGAGGCGCGTAGGGATAGTACTGGGGTTTGTACGGCGCATAGGGAGTGGTGGGCGTAGTGCCCGCTGTAGTCCCGGTGGATTGTGGGCGATACGGCTGGGGTTGGTACGGCATCTGCTGCTGTTGCGCAGCGGTGGCAGTATTGTAAGTGTATGGGTAACCTGGGTATGGAGAAGAGGTCATGGTGACTGGAGCCGTGGCAGGAGCCGGAGTGGTCGCTGTTGGGACGGGTGTCGTAGTTGTGGCTGCGACTGCGGTGGTGGTGGTGGCACCGGACCGTATTTTGACGGTGTTATCGTCGCGGAGGGCGGCGGAACGTGTCGGAGGGAGTGTGCCAAACCACCCCGAGGATGGCTCCAATGCGAGAGTACGATGCAGTTTGTGGAGAACGTGAGGCGGGGGAAGGATAGTAGCAGTTTGATGGTCGTTTTCGTCAGAAGGAACGGCGCGTGGGCGGAGCGAGGCAAGAACGGCGAGGGAGTCAAGGATGCCCTGGGCTGGTTTGGGTCAGGTTAGTTGGCAAACTAGAACTGTTGGAGTAGAGGCAGCGACAAACCTGTGTCCCATTCTTCGGAGCCCTCTTTGGCTGTGGAATTTTCTCCATCTTCTGCTGTTAGCCTGAGATACTGTAGTTCCTCGAGTCTTGCAAGGGCGCGTCGATTCCTTTCCAGCAGTTCTTGGACGGCGTTTTCCAGCTCCAGACATCCCAGTGCAGTTTTTATAGCATCAACCTCGTCAGGGGCCAGCAATTGTTCCAGTTCGGCATGAACTACCTCTGGCGGGGCAGATTTTTGTGTTACGGGTGGCACCTCTTCGATAGTCGCGGTGGATTCCAAGCGCTGCCTCCACATTTCCAGTTTTTCCTTCTTTCGCTGTTCCCAACCATAGATGACCTCCCCAAGTTCCCTTTGGCCTACGATCTGAGCATCCTGGTCAAACACGGGAGCGAAGCTTGCCCAGGGGCCGTAGTCAAGGAAGGCACCCGTGGTAACGCGGCGCTGAGCTGGTAGGGGCTTGAGAGCGGGGAGGGGTTTCGTGGAGCGGTATGCGGCTAAGGTGGGGACAGAGTTGGTGGGTTTTGGAGGCGGGGTAGGGAGAATGGCGACGAGTTCAGCCTGGGCTGTGGGGAGGTCTTTAAGGGCCGTAGTGAGGTCGGCATCGGAGTTGAGAGAGGTCCAGTAGTCGCCAGAAGGAAGATGCTGGACGAGGGCGTACTTTCTAGGGCGACTTGGGGACGAAGGGCGCGTAGATTGGTCGTCGGGAGGAAGAAAAGATGAAAGGTCAAGGTCGATGAATGCGGCGTCGGAAGAGGCGTGGTCGAGAAGCGAAGAGGCGAGGGTGCAAAAGCGACGCTGCTGGAGGGCAGTAGGCGAGGGATTGGAGCGAGGGAGAGAAGAAATGGGGACAAGGCATTGGATTGCGGTGCGGAAGCGGGAGAGCGGGTGGTCGGCGGCGTGTTTGAGCAGACTGCGGAGAGAGTCGGGAGTTGGAAGGGGAAAGACGCGGTCGAGCAGGCCCTGGGTATCGATCCTGTATTAAAAAATGAAGA